TGCTACTTAAAATCACCTATCTTAGCAAACACATATGGGGATTCATTTACAACCTTTCTCCATATTGTGTTAGGCCCACCACTATGACACAGTACCCAAATATCGGTGGGTAACATGCCAACTGCAATACTTAGTGCTTAAACTGCTTCCAGAGACTCTCCTTAGTTTAATGTTTTCCTGTGGTCACCTCCAAATGGGCACCTTTAGTGGATGGGTGGGGTGCTCAGCCCAATAGGAATTTGGCCTGGATTCCAATTCTGTATTTTGTATATATTTTGGTCTTTACGGCAACACCACTACTGAAAAGAGAGGTCATCTCTGCTTTCCACCCGTAACAAGCACAGCGCGTGCGCTGTGGTTGTTATGGAAACTCCCTAACGGCTAGGGAGAATAGGAACACAGTGAAACGACATCACTCCATTCCAACGCCAATGTGCTGGCAAAAATCCAGAACGCTGACATAAGTGACAAGATTTGTCCTGCTTGCGGACATGTCCCAAGCAGGGATAATCAAAGAAAACATTGGGAGGAGCGCAAGGGGAGTGGAGGATGGTCAGGAGGTGGGAGTTATACAAAGAGGAGGAACAGTGAGTAAATATTAATATTTTACTTTGAATATGTATCTATACGAAATATGGTGTATTCAATGCATATGTGAGCAATTTCATAACAGGTTCACGTTAAATATTGACATAAAACTGCTAGGAACTAGGGGACCTTGAAAATGGTAGATTAAAAAGTGGTTATATAGTAACATATTAATCTAGGTAAAAAAAAGACTCAGGTTCATCAATGTCAACATTTAAAAAATACATCTTTGTATGCTGTTATCACAAAAGAAGGTAAAAAAAATAATTGAACCAATGGCCAATTATGCACCCCTAAAAAATAATTATTCTATTTTTAACAGGATGCTACATGGATATATTGTGAAGTTATTGGTATTAATATAGATCGCTTAAGGCAGGTAACGTCCGATGCCTCTAGTTAATATAAGCATAGTTAAAAGGTCAAAGTCATATCGTAGGTCATAGAGGCCATACCCCCCTCAGATAGTTATGCAATATTATCTCAAAACAACTAATTAGTGAATGAGGAGAGGGGGGGTTAGGTAGTTGATGTGTCAGGCATAATAAGGGTTATTAGCCGGTTGCTAGTGAAATAGCAGGACGTACCACTTATCATCGCAGTAAGATTATCTTGCAGTATTTTACCAACAGAAATCATAAGATATTATGAGTAAAGCAAAAACGTGTCTAGAAAAACGTACATAAAACAATAAGGCAATAGGCTGCCAAAGATAGCACAGGAGAGTCATGGCGCCTGGGTTAAGGATGAATCTCTCCGGCGGGCTGCAGGACAAATGGTCTGACCCTTTCAGGATCCCATGCCGCTGATGTCGATGGAGGTGTAGGGATTGGGGGTTCTGTTGTGAGGGCTGTGTGCCCAAGTGCCTTCATGGTAGTTGCTATCTCTGATGCCTCTCCGACTCTCAATGCGCCAGTGTCTCTGGGGATGAGAAGGCAATGCGGAGTGCTCCATCTATATGGTATGTTGTGTTCAGTGAGTTCTTTTGTCAGTGGTTTCAGAGATCTTCTCTAGTCCAGTGTGACCTTAGAAAGATCCGGGAAAAAGGTCAGGGAGTGCTCCTCCAACTTGAGCGGTGTTCGGTTGTGTACTGCCGCCATAAAATCCTTTCGGTCCTGGTGTAGTTGAAAACAAAGGATAATATCCCTGTTTGGGCCTGGAGTGCCAGTATGTGAGCCCGGGATGCGGTACCAGTCATCTATCAAAATGGCTTTTGCTTGTTTGGCTGAGAACAGCATCGTGAGCAGCCTGCAAAACAAGTGAGGGAGTTAAGCTGCATCCACAGTGTCAGGCAGGCCCCATATTTTGATATTCTTTCATCTCCGCTTGTCTTCCAGAGATGCCATGCGGATGTGGGATTGTGCCTGTGAGCTTTGCAGAGTAGAAAGCTCCTGTTCCAAGCATGTAATACAGGTCTCATGGGCTGCTGTGTTGAGCTCGGTGTTGTGCAGGCGTGCTGAGACCCCACTAATCTCCTCACAAAACTGTCTGATGGTGGCTGCTATGTTTACAGCGCAGCTTGTCCAGAAGGCTCTTCTGTTACCGGAGGTTTCTCTGGGGCTTTAGGAGGCGAGATTTTTGCCCTGCTGTCTTGTCAGGCTATGGGGTCAGCCTCACTTCTCAAGGACTCTTTACTGGAGGTTCGTGAGGGCCCATCAGACATCAGCGCCATCATAGTCCTCATGGTGGTTCGCGGCCAACACAGCAGGTCGCCAATATCTGCCGTCGTTGGAGGTCTGTCGGGTTTCTATTTCTTGCGACCATTTAAAGCCATGCAAGACAAGTTTTTCTGCGTATTTAGTAAGTTTATGTTGATTTCACTCTGAGCTCTGCAGAGATGCGACTGAGCAGTATGGCCGCCAGCTCCACCCCTTCGAAAAATCATCATTGACTCCATAATGGCAATCAGATTTTTACTTGTTACATGTATCATTTAATATTCTATTTATCAAAAATAAAATCGTCCAGGCCTTTTAAAAAAATATATATCTGGTCTTGTTAAAACAACCTCTTTGGATAGAGAATTCCATATTTTTGTGACTCTTACTGTAAAGAACCCTTTCCTCAAATGAAAACTAAATGAGGATGAAATGTGGTCACAAAAAGAGAAGAAGAGCATATTATGATATCTAGTATTCTAGGTCGAAGGGAGTTAGTTATGGAATGCTGGGTCATTTAACTTTATTGTTCATTCCTTTCAAAAACAAATGAATATCCAGTCAACAAAAAAAACATCTGTTAGGCAGAGAAAGTAACTTCAACATCATTATTATAATCATGTCACATACAGGATGTTCTTGTTACAAATTCTAAGTTAAAGGTATTGCTACTTATTAAGTGTCTTTAATTGATGGAGCAATGTCCTACATGTTCCACAGCTTCTTGTTGCCTGTTATTTTCATTCAATTGATTCTGTTTATAAGATTACTAATCAGTCCAGTATCTAGCTTTGGGATAGACAATTGTCTGACAATTTTAGTCTCGGACTGCTCATTTATAGTCTGTATGCGAGATAAATCCAGAGATAGGTTGATCACCAAGCTCAAAGTGTTCATAAGCTTTTTTATAGAGCCAATTAGACAGTGGTCCCTCCCTTACCTACTTAGAGAAAGAATTTCTCTAAAACCAATTAAATCAGATCTGCCTGGCAAGATCATTTCACTGTAAATTCACAGGAGACAAACTTTTAGAATTTATCTTCACCTTCTTTATCTTTTATTTCCAATAGGAAATTAACTGCTGAAGCCAATTAAGACTTTCCAGGATTTACCATGTGCTGTAACACCAGTAGATAATGTCTTAAAGGCAATGCAACTGCTCATGACACTGGTACTTTCCTAGAACTTTGAAAACTACCAAACACAAATGCTCAGAGACTTCATAGACATCTCAATATTTGAGGTATCAACCATACGTATGCTCAGGGCTATTTTCTCATGTTTCAGTGGGAGAGCACTTATTGGCTGGAAATGATTTGCTGAGTTAGCAAATGTCTAAAAATTCTAAAGCCAACAAGTGTTTTTCTCTACTGTTTTTATTTTTATTTTTGTTCCATACTACTTCATACCTGCCACCATGTTTATCTGTAAATTGGGACAGATGGTCAGACTTTGGAGGGGTCGATGCCAGTGACATGTCACTAGTGACACCAATAATGGGTGGTTCTGCTTAGGAGAGGGTGGTTTCATCCAAAAATGGACAAGCACCTAGATTAATGGTAGCGGAAGCTAGACCAACTGTTGTTTGTATTTGACAGGAACCAAACTCTAGATGCAAGAGACGTGTCTGTGGGCCAAAGTCCTACAGCTGGTAGTTTAAGGATTTCAAGTTCAATCATACTGTTTAATTTAAATAAAGCTGTGGCCAAGACCTTTACCTTAATTTGGTATTGGTGTCTTTATTGGGATGTTTGGGGAAAGTTGAGCATGGTGGTTCTGGCATGCCTTAACAGTCACGTGCCTGTGATTAAAATGTCTAAGATCTAATAACACATCTTTATAAAACAAACAGACAAACTATAAACATCCAGTTGGGGTGACATGAGAAACAAGTAGAAAGATTTAGGATATACCATTCAAAAGTATAAAAATTCTAAAATATTCTCTTGGTTTTCAAGTTGGCACAGATCACTATTTAGTGAATAGGCTACCAATCAAACGTGTAGTTTTTCCAAGGATTTCAGCACAGCCTGGCAACGCACATATACTGTAACAAAAGGTAGGCCATAACGCCACTCTTCATGCTTAAATAGTGGTTTAAAGTTGTTTTATGTAATTGTATATTATGAAGGATCTCTGAGAGAAGAAAATAACTTGCTAATGTTCATTTTGAACGATGAGGATGTTTAGATGCTAAATGGAAGCAATAAATTCTGGAGTAACTTTTCAAGACTATTGATTGAACGTTGCATGCATTCATTAGGGAGATCAAGTTTACAAAATGCGTTACAGTTATATAAACAGCCATATAGTAAACAATATGCGTACAGGGAATAGCGCTTAGGATAATTGATTCTTTAACATACATAATATTAATTTCAAGTCACTATCAATATCTTATTCTGCCAAGAATTCCAACCTCTAGGCAACACTGAAAATATACTGAAGTTTTATAGAGGTAATTACAGTTAAAGAGAGTGAATCATGTATTACGAGAAAATAATGCAGCGAAGGTTGAGTGGTTTCCAGAACCCCGAGATGATATTATTTTCCTATAATGCACGCTTAGCCGTTATGTATATATTATATTACAAGATATATCACTCATGTATGCCTATATATCATTCTTTGCTGGGACTGAGTGTGGCTCCTATCTTCAGTGTTTGTAACTAGAGATGTCGCGAACCGTCCGCGAACTTCTCGCGAACGGTTCGCCACGGTTTGCCACGAGCTGTTCGTGGCGAACTCCGGTCAGCTGACACGTCCCGGCCAATCTCCAGCAGACCCTCCCTCCCAGACCTTCCTACTTCCTGGACAGCATCCATGTTTCAATATGGATGCTGTCCATATTGTAGGAGGGTCTGGGAGGGAGGGTCCGCTGGAGATTGGCCGGGACGTGTCAGCTGACCGGAGTTCAACATGGATGCTGTCCAGGAAGTAGGAGGGTCTGGGAGGGAGGGTCTGCTGGAGATTGGCCAGGACGTGTCAGCTGACCAGAGTTCGCCACGAGCCGTGGCGAACCGTTCGTGAGAAGTTCGCGGACGGTTCGTGACATCTCTATTTGTAATATATATTCTCTGTCCAAGACTAGACTTTCCTTCAAGAAGATTTCTCAGTCAGTCCTGATCCAGTCATTATTGTCATTGGGAGTGATGTAGATATCATATACATAGCAGTTCAGTAAACCTTTATGAAATATGAAGTTAAATTGTGATAATTTTACTCTTGAAAAGACATGAATGAAAATACTCTGCAAGTTATTAGATGCTAGAATGTACTGTGTTATTTGTTGCATGCTTTGAAAGAAGCACAATGTAGCAAGGACAAACATCTTCTAACACATTCATAGCCACGTGAAAAGATGAAAATCGTTGCCAAATGTATACACAAATAGATATATATATACACAAACGCACACTTATGCAGGTCTCCAAACTATCCTGATTTCAGGGTAGCAGTCCTGATATTAGGATCCTGTCCCAGGTTAGTTCCCTGATGTTCTTTGCACACACTTGGGCTGCCCTGAGGGCACCAGGATTATACAAATGTAGTCTACCTTCAGTGGGCTGGCCTGTGTGATTGGCACGCATTTGGGTGTGTATTCATGCCAGACTGACCTTTCAGTTCTCCAGACGCTCCTGCATCCTTCGGGTAGCACTGGTAATATGATTTGCATCATTGATTTACCCCCTTTCACAGCACGACAATGTTGGTGGACAAGTGTGTCTAAAATAATTTTAATTTATAAAATAGTCAGTGGCTGGAACTACCACGGTCGCAGGGGTCACAGCTGCGACCAGGCCCGTCACTCCAGGGGGCCCGGCCACCCTGCTGACCCCTGTGACTGGGGGCTGCATTGGAGGAGCCCTTGCTCTTGGGGCCATCCAATGGCAATAAATTTCCTGGGGCCCGGTCAGTGCCCCAGTGATGTGAGAGTGCTGGGAGGAAGCCATGACCGCCGGGGATGAGAGGAGAGAGTCAGAGGGGGAGCTGTGACTCCCATCAGCCGGAGGCAGCCACTGGACCCCAGGAAAGTCACCCTCCTGCACCTAAAGGTAGGAAACAGGAGGATGACTAAAATGTTTAAAGGGACACTATAGTCACCCAGACCACTTCAGTTCAATAAAGTGGTCTGGGTGCCAGGTCCCTTTAGGGTTAACCCTGCCTGCTGTAAACATAGCAGTTTCATAGCAGTTTACATTTGGGTTTAAGCCAGCCTCTAGTGGCTGTCTTATACTGTATAATTTTTACACCAGGGCTCTGTGGTTTCTATTTACGTCTCTGAAAATAGTCATAACATTTAGTGGACAAGGCAGACATTAGAAATCCATCATTTCATTTATGTATAAAAAGTTACAGATTAGTTTTAGGTCCCCCTCCTATTCTCAGTAAAAAACTGCAAAAATTTTTTCACTTACATTTTCACCAGCATCGAGACTACCTTGGCTCTGCTGGCCGCTACTTATCCCATGATGTCATCTGGCTCTCTTGCTGATGGTCAATTCACTATTCCTTGCTGATGGTCAATGCCACAATATACATCCAAATGCTTCTCATAGGAAAGCATTGAATGCAATGCTTTCCTATGTCCTGCAACCTCACGTTACAGAGTTCAGTTTAGAGCGGTGGTTCCCAACCCAGTCCTCAAGTATCTTCTATCAGTCCAAGATTTAGGAATTACCCAGTTGTATCTAAGGTGTTTTTAGAAAAAAGAAAAAGAAACACTTTAGGCACAACGGGGTAATCCTTAAATCCTGGACTGGTTGGGGGTACTTGAGGACTGGGTTGGGAACCCCTGGTGTAGAGAAATTGACTCAAGTGATCTGAGGAAGCTACAGGGATGGCAAAATGTGTCATCACACACACTCACATCAGGACACCTCAACCTCTGACCCCTGGAATTACGTCAAGTAATTCAGAGAACATTTGCTTGAAATTTGGAGGAAATTCGGAAGTGTCTGGGAGTTAAATACCAACGTTAAAGATTAACTCTGACAAGAGTGGAGGACTGTAGAAGATTGTATTTTCATGCCTGTGCATTTTTAATCTAGTAATAAAGTCTTATGGTCTCACAAGGGGTCTGAGGATCTCATCTCGGTACCTAATGGCAGTCAGGCTACCTCTGGTGAGCACATGGAGGGCTGTACGGCCCCCCCAAAGAAATGCCACCCCACACCATTACTGACCCACTGCCAAAACCGGTCATGCTGGAGGATGTTGCAGGCAGCAGAACGTTCTCCACGGCGTCTCCAGACTCTGTCACGTCTGTCACATGTGCTCTGTGTGAACCTGCTTTCATCTGTGAAGAGCACAGGGCACCAGTGGCGAATTTGCCAATCTTGGTGTTCTCTGGCAAATGCCAAACATCCTGCACGGTGTTGGGCTGTAAGTACAACCCCCACCTGTGGACGTCGGGCCCTCATACCACCCTCATGGAGTCTGTTTCTGACCGTTTGAGCAGACACATGCACATTTGTGGCCTGCTGGAGGTCATTTTGCAGCGCTCTGGCAGTGCTCCTCCTGTTCCTCCTTGCACAAATGTGGAGGTAGCGGTCCTGCTGCTGGGTTGTTGCCCTCCTAAGGCCTCCTCCATGTCTCCTGATGTACTGGCCTGTCTCCTGGTAGCGCCTCCATGCTCTGGACACTATGCTCACAGTCACAGCAAACCTTCTTGCCACAGCTCGCATTTATGTGCCATCCTGGATGAGCTGCACTACCTGAGCCATTTGTGTGGGTTGTAGACTCCGTCTCATGCTACCACTAGAGTGAAAGCACCGCCAGCATTCAAAAGTGACCAAAACATCAGCCAGGAAGCATAGGAACTGAGAAGTGGTCTGTGGTCACCACCTGCAGAACCACTCCTTTATTGGGGTGTCTTGCTAATTGCCTATAATTTCCACCTGTTGTCTATCCCATTTGCACAACAGCATGTGAAATTGATTGTCACTCAGTGTTGCTTCCTAAGTGGACAGTTTGATTTCACAGAAGTGTGATTGACTTGGAGTTACATTGTGTTGTTTAAGTGTTCCTTTTATTTTTTTGAGCAGAGTATATAACTTTGTCAATGAACAAGGTGTTAGATTTAGAGCTACATTATCATGCAAATGTGCATTCAATAAAGTAGAATGAAAACAATTTCATAAAGCTATAAATAATTCATAATTTTCAACATAAAATAGATTACTACTTTGACTGTTTCTGACATCAAAGGTGCTCTTCTCTGTGATATACAAAAACCTTTCTGTATGGGGCAATTTCCATCTGGAAATAACAAACTAACAAAGTCCTTTTCTTAGGGGCTCATTGTGTGCACTCCTACACAGAGTTGTCATTCATAAACATCTGTGTTTACAATTTATTTCCCATTCACGAGCAGCAAATTCCTCGAGCCACTGGTGAAGCCAGTTTCCAGTCAATGGACCTTTCCCGCTGTTTATATATCTTGTTCCTTTGTTGATCTGCTACTTGAAATTTGTTGTGATTATTTTTTTAAAGGACCGATTTATTCCATAGAGCTGTACAGCAGGTGGTGTGTGTTTATATTAACCCTCTGCTTACTTTGTTTAAAAAAAAAGTGTAATCCAATTAAAAGAGAGCTGGCCCTTTGCTGGAAATTAGTACTGTTTCATAAAACATTGAAAATCAACTTTAACTTGTGTTGACTTTTTACAGAAACTTTAATGTTAGAAATACAAACGCATATTCTACCCTTACAATTTCTTCCTACATTTTTAGATTTAGGGCTTCCCTTTTAAAATTAAAATATTAGAGGCTTTACTCACCTTTAATCCTGCTCTGCAACGGTCTCACTGCCTCTCGCTGAGATCAGCAGTGATGATAATCCCGGCCAATCCGATGCTTCTCCAAAGAGAAGCAATGAAGTGGTTTATGGCAAATGTAGGTCATGAGTGTGAAGATGCTTCAAGTAGGAAGCACATGTACTGGATGTTTGAGTATGGAATTATTTTAATTGAATATTAAAGATTTAGCAGATTACATCATAATTCAATTCAGACAAGGCACAGTCAGGGCACACAATGCAAATGAGGAGAGGAAATGGAAACATTGTTTCATTTCTAATCTTTCTCTATGCTGACTGAATGGCAGGTGCAAAGGGCACAGTTTTTAACAATGATTGACAGGGAATTAAGGTAGAAGCCCACCAGCCATAAACCAGCTATGTTTCCAGTTTGGCTACATTGGTCTTACATTTAAAATTCACATTGAATTGTTGTTTTAGTAAATAACCTTGTGAATATGGCATGTATGTCATATATTTAATTTACAGATTATTCAATATATTTCATGTAGATTCAGTAAATATTGTCTTCACTTTCAGCTCTCAGAAGAGAGACACTCGTTTTACATGGAACATCTGCATTTATTGCAAGTTTTATTTATTTTTTTATATCTGTGTATCTCATTGGGTCCAAAATCCCGGCGGTATTTTATTTAAAATTCTTTTTTTTTTTTTTATTCTTTTTTTTTTGTTGTGCAATGAAACAATGACAGACAAGCTCGTGGTGCCCCAAGAGCAATCCTTGAGCGTATTTTCATGTGTAACAATAGGTGCATTGGATTAATCGGCACAATTTTTTATAATATAATAACTTTAGCATAACCATCATATTCAATAAGACTGCGCATTTGGTTTGGATAATCTTTTAGTGGTTCTCGCTATCTTTGCAACAGTGTATATCACAGTAGGGCATTAAGACAAATAGGGATCACGTTTGCTCTAAGCTGTACTTTATAGCCACTATGCTTGCTAAGACATAGCTAAGTTACATGCTGTATCATACTTAATGGTAAATAGTAGGCTACAAGCTTCATGTTATTAAGTGACATCTAGAATATAGTTCTAACAGATGTGAACTGTAGGATAAATAGGCTAAACTAGAAC